GATATATCCGCTTCCTTATAAAGAAAAACAATCAAAAGTCAGTTACATGGACTCGAAAAACAACTAATTTGTCGGTCTGTTGTCAGTTTTATTTATGTATGTCGCTCATATGAAAGTTATGCACAATTTGCATAGTGATGTCGAATTCCGACATAACATATATTCCTTTGGACAACTGAGTCAATATCATTGAAACAAACTATATCGAAGACGAAGAAGCAATGCAGAATACTTTGCTGAAGCTTCACAAAACAACAATGAAACGTCGATACTTCTTTTCATCATTTTCTTGTCGATCTTCTCTTCTAATAGACCCTCGCTGAACTCTATCTGGCAAGAAAGGGTGTGGGTGTCGGTGTGGGGTGTGGAGTGTAGGTGTGGGTGTGGGTCGCAGGAATATATACACCAATGCTCACTTATACCCACATTCACACTCACACTCACACCCACACCCACCCACACTCACACCCACCCACACACCCACACCCACACCCGCACCCACCCACACCCCACACCCACACCCACGCCCACACCCACCCACACCCCACCCCATGTTTTGTTGTAATTTTTAGAAGCTCAGCAGAAATATTTACAAAAATATTTTTTTACAGTAAACATTGCGAAAAAAATCGTAGGACCATTTTCTAGCTCAGTGGCATCATTGTCTTTCTATTCAATTCTATGTAGCCTAAATATTTTAGTCATCAATTTGATAACTATACGACTTTATTAACAATCAAATTTAACATCCAGTAGCTCTCGAATGAACATATTTTAGATCTAGCCTCGCTTAGAAAAATAACTTTCTAAAAGTGTCTTTTCCGTCCAAATGATCGTAATGGAAACCTTAAAACGATAATGAAAGCAGAGAGCCTAATATTTTCTATACCTTTGTGTTACATCCTTCACTTTTATCATTGGCTCACGTGAGTATGGACTTAGAAAAAGCGATAGATATCTCCAGAAAATCTAAAATCGCAGTTGGACAAATTAGCAGATTTTCATCTTGTAAATTTTGCACCAACGAAAAAAAAAGACATTCGAAAAAACAAAAAACCTCGGTGTCGTAGAAAATTTTCTATCGAATGAATCTAAAGTGGATTCTCTGATGTGAAAGAAAAGATCTCAAAAAGAAAAGAACATTATGTCCCGTTTTTTATGGAGCATAGAGTACTGCAACCCGCGGGTCGGGTACCCGTACCTGGGTACGGGTAGGGTGCGGGTACGAAATTAACGGGTACGAGCAAGAATCGTTTTACTCAATTTTAATGTTACTGATTAGTAGGAACATACTTGATCACATAGATAATTGGTCGTTCTGTGAAACTATCAACGATGTATATGAAATCGTTCGAAGACTGCAGGAACGCTAGGGTCTCGGAAACAGTTATTAAGTCCTGATTCACTTGATGCACTTATATTTCTTCGTCACTGTTTGTGATAGTCATAAAAATTATTGTTATTTCATTCTGATTTAATCAAGCTAAATAAAATAGAGAACTTATATTTTAAATTGCGTTTACAGCTATGGTGTAAATAGTATCAACTGTGAATACTGAAGTTACGGTTACGAGTAAGAGAAGATACGGGCAGGATACGGGTACCATATAAACGGGTACGGGTAGGGTGCGGGTACGAAGCTAACGGGTAGGGTAGGGTTCGGGTAAATAATTCTTGTTTGGGTCGGGTACGGGTATGAAAAGTTGTACCCGTGCAGTACTCTAATGGAGCACTCCTTACTTTGTATTCGTTGGTGTTGAAAATATCTTTCATATAGAATATGAAACTTTATATCTATTGTAGTTTTTTCTTAATCATAAAAATGAACTAACAATAAGATGTCCTGAATCATTCAATTTTACAATGTTGAAAAGAGAATGCAGATCTTGAATATTTCTTCGAATTGTTTCATCAATAGCTATCGGTTGCGTATCAGTCATTGTAGAATAAAAACTTTCTAAAATTGGTGTAGAAGTTGTGAGTTCAGTTGCGATGAATTCGAACAAAGCAAAAGCAACATCAAAAAACCGATGTTCAAAACGGAGTTGTTTAAGATTGGGCAAACATTGAAGTAATGATGCAAAGAATTCATAATTCATATAATCCGAGGAAAGAACTTCTAAACGTTGTAATTGATAATGAGGAGCTGCCGATGAGGGAATAATATTTTCGTCGATTGTAGAGCCTCGACCATCTTTAAAAACCGTTGTTAAATCGGAACGATAAGGACCTGGTCTAAATCTGAGAAATCGGAGATTTGGACACGCATAAAGGAGTATATGAAGAAAACCTGTTCGATTAACTTCATTGATTTCTAATTTTGTTATCGACGGACTGCCTCTCCATACTGACTTTGTCGATGGAAGACATAAACAAGCTAAACATGCTTTGTACAATTTGAGAAATTTGTTAGAAAATATTCGATGATGTAATGAATTCCACCAGTGAGTAAATGTATGACAAGAGAAAGCAATAGATAAGTATTTGAGATGAGGAAAAAATTCGGGTTGAATTTTTTGTGCCAAAGCTTGATTCGGATTATGTAAGATTAATGAATACAATTGGGAAAAACGAATTAGATCAATATATTTGCAATTAATAAGAGTTAAACTAATAGTATTCGATGGAAAAAAATTAGCACAACGAATATCCATCGGAGAATCTTTATTGACCAAACATTTACAAGAGTTTAGTCGAATAAGTGTAGTTAATCGACGATTTAATAGATAAAATGCTATGTATAAGTCGATCGTTGGTAAATAAGAGAAAATATTCAATAATATTTCATTCGGTAATGTTTCGAAAACAAACGGTTGGTTTGTGCTCGTCATACTGATTAATATCTTGTTACTTGCTATCATTAAAATACAAAATATTCTTCTGCCATGTCGAATGAATAATATATCTTAGTTTTTTTATACACATTGCATCGTAATAATGAGTCATTTTCAAACATTTTCGTGCAATAATAATAACAGAAAGAAAAAAAAATTTCGAAATTACCTGTTATTTTATTTTTTTTTTCCGCAATATAGATGTCGTAAGACAATTAAGAACCCAATGCTTTATAAATCGAACTGAGAAAAATTGAAATATAAATCATAAATCAGATTTTATTGGAATAATCAAATGTACTTCATGTTGTTCGAATGTAAATAAAATATTTAATTTAAACGAAATTCTAATTAGTCTATGAAAGAAAGAATTTCACCTTGGAAATCGAATCATCCGATTAAACTAGACTTGTAATTAATGCTATAAGTCTTATACAATATGATTATGCTATTCTTGATAGTTTTCATTTTGCTGAATATCAATTTTGTATATGAATTGTAAATGTGGGTGTGGGTATGGGTATGGGTGTGGGCGTGAGTATGGGTATAGATGCGGGTGTGGGGGTGGGGGTGGGGGTGAGGGCGTGGGTGTGTGCGTGGGTGTGGGTGAAGAGAACACCCACACCTACACCCACACCCACACCCACCCACCCCCACACCCACCCACACCCACACCCACACACCCATACACCCACACCCACATCCACACCCACCCCAAAACGGTGAATGAAATCTGGACGAAATCGGATTTTCAGATTTTTGATTTTGCTTGTTGTTACAGTGTATTGTAACTACATATACCTCGATTCTATCTATTCTCTTTTCTTTGATATTTTCGTTTCTGTTATTTCGTTTCTATTGCTCTTCTTTGTCCTTGATTAACCTTTCTATTCTATTCTGCTTTTGTCCTTATTTTTATGTTCGTATATAAACATTAGTTTTTTCAAAGAATAAACAGAGAGAATAAACCACACACGCACGTTAACTGTGTTCGTCGCTCTTCGTGAGCGTGAACGCTAACACTTGTCGAAATTTGTAAAAAGAGGAATATCTAATTAATTGATTAGCTCATTGATCCGTCAGAATACAATCTTATTCAAGAATCCGATTGCATGGAAAACAGAATTGTAATAGGAAAAAAATCATTTGAAATAAAATTAATCTGAGCAACACTTTGGAAAT